ACCCAAAGCTAGGAGAGAAGAATTGTCGGCATAAATTGCATGCAGCATGACCTTAATATGAACTATTACTGTTCTAATAGTTTCTCTGCATGGCATTACAAAGGCAGTGAATGGTGATTTCCCCTGGCTAGCATTCAGACATTGCCAGCTTCGGGGAAAGCTGCCACTCATTGCCATACATAATGTGTGCTGCAGTGGTGTTTGTAAGATCTGGGTGTCTCATGCAATCAGTGTTTTCTCCAAAGGACTATTATCCTGTCAATGTATGATCACTAGATGCCAGCAAGGAGTTCATCTTTAAGTGATTCTACTGTTTCCCTGTATGTGTGTAACCCAGATGCAGCTATTGTGAAAGCGTCCTTGGAACTCAAGAAAAGATTTTGATGTGAGTGAGAGATACACTCATTATGGGATGGTCCTGGGTGCATCTGTATGTTTTTTTTCTAATTGATCTTTCTGGTGGCAGAAAGAGTTAAGAGTTTTGCCTCTGTAGCTAGCAGTAATCCAGATAAATGTTGTTGAAGAGGTGGAGTTTGAGAAATGAATTTATTGATTCTTCTGACAAGTCATTATATACATACAGCTTTGATTATGTATGTATGTTATTGCAGCTATATGCTAGGCCATATCTATACCAGACTGCATTTTATGATAACTTTCCTAAAATAACCTTCTGTCTAGCAAACAGCCATGTCTTCTAAAGAGCAGCAGTCATTGCTAAGGGAATTCCCCATCATGCAGCTGCAGAAGCTTAAGAGCCAAGTCCTGTCAATTACCGGAATATACATTATGCCAAGGAAAGCTGTTCAGTTTCAGAGCTTTGAACTCTAAGTCAGCTGGTTGTCCAACCTGTTTAAACAAATTAAAAAAGGAAATGGCTGCAGAAGCTATAGCTCCGGTCTCTCTTGCAGCCCAGATAGTGCTGCCAAATAGTTACTTAACTCAGCGACCAGATGGAAGTGTAACAAAAGAGAGTTGCCTTGTTCTGTAGAATTAGGAATCTTTTACACAGCATTAAAGCAGACTCGGTAAACACTATGTTTTTACCTTAGCTGCTATTTCTGTGTGTGTTGGGGTGAGGGTTTGGAGAGGAGTGTATTCTGTTTTCTTTTAACACTGTTAGCTGTCCAGAAACATGAATTTGAGATGCGAAACTATATAGATTGAAATAATAAGCAAAAAATATTGCATACACCCAGAAACAAAACAGTCCATTCGGAGTCCACACAGACCAAACCAAACAGATCCAACCTCCCAGCCATACAGTCTGAGGGAACATCCAGATCCTGAATGCTTTGTGAAAAGCCAGGAGGGTTGGGGGCATCCTGATCTTTGGCACTACGGCAGTGAAGACACAGTTTCTAGGTTACACAAGATGACAATTCCTAATGGAAGGAACCTGGAGCATGCTAACTGTCAATTCTGCTGCAGGAAGTAGAACTGATTTAGGACATATAGTCTTGCAGGTAAACTGGCACCATACTAGGTAGGTGCAAACCAGCACTTTGAATTGGACCCTGAAGCCCACAGAGAGCCAGCACAACTCACAGAAACAGCAATGTCCTATAGATATATAACAAAGCACCCAAAACTGCCTGTGCGCCAGGTCAGATAATTTCATTGGCAAATTTCCAGTTAAAACATTTTGATAGAATAATTCTTTCCTCTCCTAAGTCCTAAGCAAATACATTTAATAAATAAATAAATCTTTAACAAAGTTTTTTTCTTCACTATTAAAGAATTGGAAAGTTAGAAATTGCCATAATGCATGCAGTTGAATTACAGTTTCTCTGAGCCTTTGACTTCAATTTATTTCTTATCAGCATAGATATACAGTTTTGAGGAATTGCTAAGAAAAAAGCTTAGATGGTTTGTGGTAAAAAAAAATCTTAGATCACCACTATTGTAATTGACAACTAAAAATCTATTCTGGAAACAGTGGAAGTTTTCCATTTGAAATTGTCAGTTGTCCTTTTTCACTTATATTACATGCTTGTCATATTTTAAAACACAATTGTTACATATCTTTCTCAGAGAACACAATATACATAAATATTTTCTGTGGCTTTCAGATACTAGGCCCACTTTCCTTTTGGATGTAATAAAATTATAGTATTAGGCTATGGGAAGCCATCTTATTAATCAAAAAAAAATTCATAATAGAAATGGCATTTGGAATTTTCATATTCTACTGACTTACTTATCAGAAGGCTGCTGTTGGAACAAAATAAAGTATCATAATGAAATTATTCTTATAGCAGTAAACAATGCTTTCCTCGGTTTTAAGATCTTATGATTCTTCTCCTAAAATATAAAATAACTAGGGTTCAGGGTTATCAACTTGCCAGTTCACTGTTGCAGGTTTACTTTCTTTTCTGCCAAGAAGAAAAGCTTTGTTGGAAACGAAACCACATTTGTTTTCCTTATGATATCATTATAGAAAATGGGGGGGAGGTGTTTACTTGCTTCCTTTTTAACATAGTTTTACACAAGAGGAAGGTAGGTTATTAGGACTATCAGATTTGGGTTGGAAAAATCTGGATGACCACTAAATGTCAGAAAAGAGAGATACAGAATCCCAACACTGCTGCTGTATAGAGACCAGCTAGATTTCTGTAAACCAGTTCTAGGAGCCTTAACTACCAGCCTTAACCATAATTCTAGCCTTATATCCAAGCCGAGGCAAATATTTTGTTGCCCCATTCCCAGGTGCTATTCCTACTTCTGGAGATTTCAGATAGATGTGGCAGTCCTGGGAAATAGATCAGATGGAATTTAATTTGTCTCCATAAGTTTCATAGGTGATTGGGGATTTTGGTATTGGTTTTCAAATTCAAAAGCAATAGCACATAAACTGCCACTTAAAGTTGGGTATTGAACAAAAGGAAGAATATGCTGAAGTAATATTCTTCTTTGCTATTAAATTTCCCAATGCTCTACATGGGCTTGTGTGAAATTGCTGCCCAGTGGATTGGCATTTTTATTAAATTGCTAGACCACAGTGGCTAGGTAAAGTTAGAAGTTTCTGCGATGAATTATTGATTATTTATATAATTTATCTTTATCATGTTGTGGTTGCTGATCTGCTTTGGGGATATCCTTTCAGAGCTTTTTACAGGTATCTCTGATTAATCAACACCATAGGCCCTGTGATTTTGGATTTTGCCAATTAGATTAATAGATCTTTATAGAAATGGCTTGTTCATGTTATTATGAAAAAAACAAAAAGTTGTGATTTAATGCCTTATTCTACTGCAACAGAGAGAGTTGGAAGTCAATGTTCCTTTTTCTTTTTTCTTTTATCCTCCCTCACATCTCTTCCCCCTCTTACTCCCTACCATTTTCCTATTTTCATACTATGCATCTTATTTTATTTTATAACCCAATAAAAATGTTAAACACAAACACTGTGGGCCCTAAGTTGATTTTTATTTCCGGTTTCCTCTGGAAAAAAAGTTACATGTTGTTTTGAATTTGAATTGAAAGATCAGTAGCATATTTGATTGAAGATGAATAATTTAATATTTTGAGTTCTTCGGGAACTCTTTGTGCATGACATCCGTTCCTTTATTTTATTTTATCTCTTATTTATTTCCTTTTTTTAATTCCTTCCAAAGCAGGCTAGTTTTACATTTGTTTTTGTTCCTAATGATAAGTAACAAGTTGTTCAGCTTCTTTTAGTCTTTTTAGTATGTTTATATACCTTTCACTCCTTGATCTAATTAGCGAAGCTCTTTACATGATTATTTAGTGGTAATATATTTTTTTAAAATATTTTGCTGCATCTTTCATCTTGTATTGATTTGGCCAGTGTTTGTATTACTTTTAATTCTCTAATTCTGGGCAATAGTTCTTTTTCCTTCTGACTGCTTTGACCTTGCATATTAATCACACTAGGATCTTTTTGGACTTGACAAATCTGCATCATATATTCTAGTTGACATTTTATTAATGACACTTTTACATAATAAGTATCCATATATAGATACATCCTCTCATTTTTCATTAGCCACATTTTTTTAAAGAGTTTTAGGGGTTTTTTGAGATGGGGAAGTCAAATCAATTGTTGTATGGTTTCACTTATGTTAATCATTCTTGGCAATTTTGCGGTAACCTTTATGCTAAATGTCATAATTATTCCCAATCAGTTCAGTACTACTACTATCTCCTTCAGACTATAATTACTTTACAGATAATATGGACCAGGAAATCAAATAGAGTATAGAGTCTTCTAGCACTATAAGTATGAATCAATTACATCTGTTACAAATAATTATCATAATCATTTCCTATTATAAGTTTTTCACCATGCCATATAGTACTATATGCTCATTATAGTTTTAATTTATACCCATTTGGTTTATATTAAATATGTTTAATATTTCATCCTCAAGAAATATTTTATTCTAAACAAGATATTTCTTATGTTTTGTCAGTTTAGTACTCAAAGTTATTTTAAAAGCTATTGTCATTTTGCTGAGCCAAACCATTGAAAACATTTATGGATTAGTTGAAGTAAAACACACTCAAGCTTAGCTCCTGGTGACTATCCAAAAAACCATGTAGCACAAAATTAATTTACAATTGCTTTCTTTTGGGATGTTTTCAATTTTCTATTATCCTAAAGTGAAAAATCTTATGTGTCACCCAGGAAACATAATTTTTTTACTGTTCCAGCTAAGAGACAGTTAAAGAGTAAGAACTCAGTGTTCTTATTATAAAATTTTGTGTTGATATCACCTCTGTATAAATACAGAGCTAGGTATCTTATATTAAGTATTTAATACGCACATCAGTAAAACTTGTGTCTTCTTTGTTTCCTCCCCCATCCTCATTGAACCCAGAAATGCTTGCTTTTCATGTTGAGAATTGGATAATTCCGTCTAGGCTTGTTTTGATAGAAGGATAATGATTTTTGGATAATATGTTATTTGAGAATTGTACTTACTCTATCAAAGAATGTGGAATTGTAAAATTGTAAAATTGTCATTTTGTTTCAGTCAATAGCTTCAGCTGACATGGATTCAAATCAACTAGAAGCTTTTCTGACTGCACAAACAAAGAAACCAGGGGGAATCACAACCGATCATGCTATAGTTATTGCAAAATTTTGGAAGAACCAGCGAGCAAAAATTCATGAGAGTCTGATAAATCAAAGCAAGTGGGAAAACAGCTTGAAAAACATAAGCTGGAGAGTAGATTTAAAAACACAGTCAAGACACATTGACCAGATGAACAGTCCTGTGGCAATAGTTGAAATGGAACTTGAGAAAAATGGACAGGTAAGAACATTTTATCTTATTTTACCAATGTGAATGTTATGTGTTAGTGTTTGCTTCCTAAAGATGAAGGAAAAGAAAAGGAATTCTGCAGATTACAGCTTATACTATTACAAATCACTATAATGCAGATTTCTTTAAGTTTAATATCTCAAGCTTGGATCACTGGCCATGGTTCTTCGGGGCAATGTTTTTCAAAATATGGGCGTATAAACTTCAGGAAGCCAGTCAAGATGTAGATTGTCTCCAAAGCAGAGTAACTTATATTATTCAGATGGAAACTCCTGCATGATCTGAAGAGATGTCTTAAAACTGCAAGAACAAAAAGAAAAATTATAGCCCTTTATTCATTGTTTGATTTATATGTTACTGTTGATATGGTAAATCTAATCAAAGTGATTATTCTGATTCCTACAGAAGCCCACATAGCAAAATATTATTTTCCATAATTTATTAAAAGATGTTTTACTTCTCTTCCTACAGAATGCTGATTCCACCCCTCCCCCAAAAGGAAATTATTCTTGTTAACTTGCAGAAAATATACATTTAAAGCTTTACTGAACTATCAGCAGAAAGGCATGATCTCAGATCATATGAACTTCTATTTTTAGTTTGCATAAAGCATTTGTAAATTTGTGCACTGATTGAGTAGTAGCAGCAGTTAACTTGGTAGAGAACATTCAGTTCTAAGCGTTTAACAAGGCACTGCTTCTCTTTGATTTATAAAATGTTTATTAAGTTTCATTATAAAATAAAAATATGGAAAAAAACAAAAGAAAAATAAGAGAAAGAAAAAGTTCAGAGAAAGAAAACAAGTTATGACATCCATTTTTTTCTCATTGCAAATTACGATTACTTCTTCAGAAGAGAAATATTTAAACTAAATTAAATAGTTATGGAAAATAACACGTGATTGCAATAAACGTGTCCCAGACTGATCTGTTTTCTCAAACACGTGTTCACTATGTTTGCAAAGCTCTTTCTACAAATTTTCTATAGACCAATAAAACCATGAATCCTCTGAGGCATCTGACATTTATAAGAATATTCTCCATTCCATTAACTTTTATTACATCACTCTAATATTTATTACATTGTTCGCCTGGTGTTGTGGTTGGTAACCTGCAGGTTAAAGCTTAGCTTCATGTGTAAATCCAGCTATTCACAACAAAAAGTAAAGCAGATTATGACTCAAATGATTGTGTGAATTTAGCTGGACTGTCGTGTCTGTTGAGATTTGTGTCATTATAAGAGGGGGATTTATATAATGGGAATTTATATCTTCCTATGTATTAATGACTAATACAACCTAGCATTGGCAACTCAGATTGTAGAGGATTACAAGAAAAAGTATTTCCCATCATCTGCTTCTAACTTTAACCAACTGTAACTTGTTCTAACCCAGTCTTCACAAGCCAGAAAGGCAGGAATACACAGCATTAACTGACAAAGGTCCAGATCACGCAACCGAAGGTGATTCACAAGCCATAGGCAGTCTCTGAGTTCCCTGCAGGGGGTGTCAGTTAGCACTTCAATCCCAACACAAAGAGTCCTGACCAATCTGGTGGCAAGGAAATCTGGCAAGGAATCCGCCGGAGTGAACTCTAAATGGAAGTCTCCGACAACCAAGCCTCCCACATTCCTCCTCCTTATATCCCATCCAGGGTGGGGCTTGTTAATGTCTTCTTTTCCTGGATAGCTGGCCCTCAGTCCTGCACTTCATATGCACATCTGGGACAGGGCCCAGCTGTTCTCCCCCTTGCTCATCTCAGGCCCCCGAAAACAGCTGCGTTAGTTGATGGGCCCTGCTCTGCCTCTGGCTCTGAGACTTCCTATTCCTCAGAGCCTTCTGCCAGCTCTTATGGTAGCCCAGGCATCCCTTCTATCTCCTTCCACTCATCTGCCATCACTGCTGGCAGTCGATGAAACACAACATAACTAACAAAATATAACAGTCATTGTTGCTTTGCAGAAGAACATTTAAATGAACAATGAAAGCCAATTTGACGTAATGGTTTAAGTCACCAGGTTAGCCCTAGGAAATAGGCAGTGGCAAACCACTTCTGAAAATATCCAAATACACCATGGCCTTCCCCAGGAGTGGAAGAATGGGGGGAGGGCACAAAAATAAAGCAACAATATAAACAGTTTCCTGTTTGAAGCAACACAAATTCAGGATTGTATCCTTTCTACTTTGATCAGTCTTAAAGAAGAAAGATTCATTTTGTTTCTGATCTCCAAATTCTCATTATTCTTCAAAAAGATTGTTGTGTGTAATAAGATTTTGTGGAGAAAATGGAAAGGATTAGATGGGAAGAGGAGATATTTTGCATTTGAACCCCAAACATTTTTTTAAAAAGCAGAAACTCTTTCGTAGAGCTGCGTCCCTGAACAAAGCAGAATACAAAACACATGATGACAATTGTATGTGAGCACAGAGAGAAAGGGGGGCAATTTTAATAGGATTAAGATTTAATATGGAAAAAGATATTTAAAAACATGGGTGGCATGGAGGGTGCAAAAGGTAAAATTTTGTTATGATTTATAAGCTTATTTTTCTCTGTGTGTCACAAAATTGCACTCAGGTGGTAGAAGTTGCATTATGATGTTGCAATGCACATGTTGCTATTTTGACAAAATCATGAATTGCTATGGATTCAACATACTGAAATTAGGAAACAGAAAATCTTACACATATTACACACTTAACCAAATAATAGAGTTGGAAGGGACCTTGTAGATCTTCTAGGCTGGGGTGTCAAACTGGATTTCTTCACGGGCCGAATCAGCATTATAGTTCTCCACGGGCCAGCTGTGGGGAAGATGGGATGGATGCCTCCTGCAGCACCCTGCTGGCCAAAATGGGCTACGGGTGGGGCGGCACTTGCAGCCCTCCTGACTCTATTTTCAGCCTGGACAGTCTCCTGAAGAACTTTGCTGGAAAGAATACATGGCTGCACAGAATTTGTGCAGTAAATAAAAAATAAATTGGATTATAACATCTTTTCATTTGCCCACCACCCATGCAATTCATTCAGTAAATTATTTCTATACTGGTTCTTGACCAAATAAAATTTGAGTTTCAATTTAATACATTTAACTGTATTTCTGTATTGAAAATTATGCAGGAAAGATTTTATAGAACATCCATGAGACCTAGAAAAAACTGAATAAACCACTTATCCTGAGTCGGACTGTTGCTTGTTGTTTAGGATAGAAGGAATGAACATGCATATGCTTGTATGTTAATGAGGTAGAGAAATAATGTGCACATGGACAGCTTTTGATTCTTAACCTGACAATTTAGATTGCCTATCCTAATCTAAAAAAAATTGAAAGAAGTTACTTATGATGATGTAACTGTTGAGAGGAGCAGAGAATATAAAAGTAATCTGTAATTAGGATGAATCTAAAAACAGAATGAGGTTATTTTTAAAAGATATTGTATAAGTAGGCTTGAGCAGTTCTTTAATAAGTTAAAGACTCTATAAAAAAGATTCCATTAATAAAATAGTTAATGCCTCAATTCAAGTAGAAAGTTATAATAATATAACTTATTAATAATAATGACATTATTAATAACTCTATTAGATAACAATTATAGTTATTAATAATTATATTATTAGTAATAATCCATGCTATAATATACCAATGGATTCTTTAATCTATCTGTAATAGAATATTAATAGATGCAAAGAGAACTTTTTTAAAAAAAGTTGCCCAAATTCATACTGGTACTCAACTTTTTCACCCAAGGAATTGAGAAGAACATTTTTAATCTCCCAATAACTTTGAAAAAGATTAACCTACATAGTGATTTGAGAAGTGAAATGATGTGTTTATTCTCCAGTAATCACAACTATTTTAAAAAAGCAACATACTACAAAATAGACCTTTTATATATACTGTATTTGATATAGAGAAAAGAGAGAATGGGATACATGAGAGGACATCATTGTCTTACCTGTGTAAAAACAATGTTATAAGAAAAAGACTTAAATAAAAGAAAAAAGTCAGCCACAATTTGGAAGCAAATGAGGTAGAGATAAATGATAGGAAGTGGCACATAGGGTTTTTTTTAATGATTTTTATGCTGTCTCAATATACATCGTAAGGATACGAGCAACAAAGTTACAGTCATACAGTCACAAGTGGGAGGGGATGGGTGATAAGGAGTGATGAGAAGATTAATAGTAATAGTAGTGCAGACTTCGTAAATAGTTGGACAATGTTGAGGGAATTATTTGTTTAGCAGAGTGATGGTGTTCGGGGGAAAAACTATTCTTGTGTCTAGTTGTTCTGGTGTGTAGTGCTCTATAGCATCATTTTGAGGGAAGGAGTTGAAACAGTTTATGTCCAGGATGTGAGGGGTCTGTAAATATTTTCACAGCCCTCTTTTTGACTCGTGCAGTATACAAGTCCTCGATTGAAGGCAGGTTGGTAGTAATTGTTTTTTCTGTAATCCTAATTATCCTCTGAAGTCTGTGTCTGTCCTGTTGGGTTGCAGAACCAAACCAGACAGTTATAGAGGTGCAGATGATAGACTCAATAATTCCTCTGTAGAACTGGATCAGCAGCTCCTTGGGCAGTTTGAGCTTTCCGAGTTGGTGTAGAAAGAACATTCTTTGTTGTGCTTTTTTGATGGTGTTTTTGATGTTAGGTGTCCATTTTAGGTCATGTGATATAGTAGAACATAGAAATTTGAAGGTATTTACTGTTGATACTGTGTGGTCTAGTATTGTAAGAGGTGGTAGTATGGGAGGGTTTCTTGTAAAATCTACCACCATTTCTACGGTTTTGAGTGTGTTCAGTTCCAGATTGTTCCGGTTACACCATGAGGCAAGTTGTACAACCTCCTGTCTGTATGCAGATTTGTCATTGTCTCGAATGAGACCAATCACTGTTGTGTCATCTACAAACTTCAGTATTTTAACAGATGGGTTGTTTAAGATGCAGTCATTGGTATATAGGGAGAAGTGGAGAAAGCACACAGCCTTGGGGGG